ATCCAGCTCTTACTGAGAAGACTGAGACCTGCAAACACACCGTCACACATAATCCTCTATCCGCTTTTTTTGCTCCTCCCTCATCATCTCAGGAAAGTGGCAGTGGTCGGGAGCAGGATCTGTCATTCCCCCATGCTCCCCAGCCAGCTCTGAGACACTGGCTCCTGCCCTCCTCACTTCTCTTCTGTGTTAAAATTTCTCCGGCATGAGAGTGGTGGAGAAAATGAGCAGGATTTACCCCTCAGGTCCCACCCAGTGAGGGTCCCATTCTGCCTTCAGCTCAGTTTGATGAACTCCCTCCAGCAGAGGAAGGAGGAAAGGAGTATTTCCCACAATCCTGACCCTGGCTGAACATGCTTCTGCAATCGCAGAGTAGAAATGTGCTATCAGGGGGCCTTTCTTGTGGCCCTGGATTCTGAGCTACGGAAGGACGTCCACACCTAGAGACAAGCAGTAGTGCCTAGAATGCAATCAGCGCCCAGCCAGTGTTTGTTGAATGACTAACAAAATGCTGAGGAACAGAAGAGGATCTCAGAGACCTTCCCCGTCATCCCCAGGGCTGCCCACTCCTGCCTTGCAGCCTATCTAATCCCACAGTCTCTATGAAGAAAAGAGTGAGGCAGCAAAGAGGAAGATGGAGAGAGACTTGAAAGGAATATTTTTCCATGATTCTCTCCTCTGTTTGCCTCTGAGGAGAACCTCTGGATCAGGAAAAACATACAGGCTTCCTGGGCCACCAAACCCTCCTCATTCTTGGCCTCAGCTCTGGGCTTATGCCCTTCCAGACTATGGACAGAAAGAGGTAGACAGACTAGCTTGGAGACAACTTTAAGTGAATTCAATTACCATAGCAACCAAAACCACCAGAATGGAGATTAGGCTCCAGACAGCAGTGATCCAGGCATCCAAGGCAGGCAGCAATCCAAAGGCCATTGCTTGCGGGACCGGGGAGGGGGGAGGGGGGACCCCAGCTCAATCTACCCAGCATCCCCATTCACCTGTACTTCCTGGGACTCCTCAGAGCTCTAACCTGCAAAGGACCTGGCATTCATCTCTGCTGGGAGCTGCAGAGACCTGGCAGGGGTGGAGGGTTAGAGGAGTGAGCAGGTGCTGGCCTTCTGCTGGCCTCTCGTTTCCTACTGTGACCTTCCATGGATGGGCAGGGAACCAGGTGGCCTTCTGCACATCTCTACAGAGTAAGATGCAAGAGTAGGAGCTCTGGAGTCAGACTCTGGTTTTAAATTCCAGCCCAGCTAATGTTCTTGAGAAAATTGCTGAACTTTTCTGTGCCGTGGTTTTCTCATCTGATAAATGGGGATGACAGTATCTGCTCATAGAAGTGCTGTAAGAACTAAAAAATAAGAATGCTTATAAAGCCTTACTTAGCACAGTGTTTGGCGCATATTAAACGCCGGGCAAGAGTTTGCTGTCACTGTGTCACTGCTGTTGTTAACAGTTTCATGATGATGATGAGGGCTCCAGGCACCAGCCCTTTCTGGCCCTTGTCTATTTCCCTGCTATGAACACTTCGCTAGGGCAAGGCACCAGCCTGAGGCAGGCAGAGAAGGTTCCCAGGAAGCTGACAAGCTGGGACATAGTGGTCAATCCCCTCTTGCTCCAGAAGCTGGTCAGAAACCCAGAGGGACTGTATGGGCCACCTGGCAAATGACTGTAGGCCTTGCTCTCTGGGGACTTTCTCTGGGCCCACCAGTGTGGTCAGCCAGCTGTGGTCAGCCTGGGGGAATCTTGGTAAGAACAAAACCCCAGATGGTCTCATTCACCTACTCCTTTTGTCTCAACAATGCTAAACGTGTCTATGATCTTCAGCCCAAAAGAACTGTTGCTTTCTCTGAAGGTGGGTCCCTGTTAAAACAGGGATAAAAATAAAGGCTGATTTCAGACAAATAATAGATTGGTTCACATTGGAACTGAGGGCAGAGGTAGGCACTGCCTTTACGCCCCTCACCTTGCGTGTTCCTGGGCTTTATTTCCCATGTGTCTGAGGGTAGAGATGACTCTCTTTGACGATGCAAAGAACTTGGGACCATGCTGGGGAAGGTGTGTCTGGTCCACCTCCAGGGAGGTGCCCATTCATTCCACAAGCATTTTTGAGCACTAGTGATAGTTAGCCCTTGTCCAGCTGCCGGAGAAGCCAAGACGAATAGGACTCAGCAGTTCATCTTGGTGGTGATGAAGGACCTCAGAGAAACACACCATGAGGTGCTGCTGGACAGGGGAAGCATGGGGAGGATGCCCGGGGCAGTGTGGCTGAGCATCGGAGAGGACTGGCATCTGGACTGTGCTAGAAGGAGAATACATTTTGCCCAGTGGAGAAGGAGGAAGGACTTTGCAGGCAGAGAGAACAGCAGGTGCAAAGAGGGAGTGTGAAAGGGCCTGGTGTGTCTGGGGGAGGTGAGAAGTTTAGGGAAGATAGAGCGCGCGCGCGCATGTGTGCGTGTGTGTGTGTGTGTGTGTGTGTGTGTGTGTTTGCGTGCATGCATGTTGGGGAACGATAAGGAGGTGGAAAGAAGTATGGCAGGAGATGAGACACAAGAGTTAATCTCTCCTCTTATCTCTTAAGAGATGGGCAGTTCTATCAGCCTCTAGATACTGTGGTCTGCTATGCTGGGCTTGGTCCGGGCTTATTTTGGAAATTCATTCCCCTACAACCAAAGGAGTTGTTGAGCTGGTTTTAGAATCCCAGCCTGTTTCTTAGAGTCTGCATAGCTTGAAGGTCTTGAATGTCCCCAGCTGACAGATTCCTCCAGCACAGACAGCTCTGTCTGGAAAGGACCCTGAGAGAGAACTCTGACCCATCCCCCCTCCAGGAAGGGCTGCCCCCACACCCCCAGCCGGTTCTGCTTTGCAGCCCCCCGCCCCAGACTGGCATGGTCCTCTGCTCAGGCAGCACAGCCTGTTCTGGGACCCCGTTTTGCTGCTCTACATCCAACCAATCAGAGTCTTGATAATACTTACCTCCAACATATTTCTCTCATGCACCCTCCTCTCTGTCCATCCACCGCTGCCCTAGCCGACACCCTCAGCATCGCTCCCCTGGAATCCTGCAACAGCCTGCTAATTGGCCCCCCTGCTTCCCATCTGGTCCTCCTCAAATCTCTCCTCCACACTGCTGGGCCAGAGTGGGTTTTTCTAACAGAGATCTGACTGCACCGTGCCTCTGCCTGGAGCCCTTCGCTGGCTCCCGGTGGCCTGCAGGATAGAATCCATCTCCTTGGCTTAGCTTTCCAGCCTCAGGCCCTGCTTTGTCCTGCCCCTAGCCTCACATTCCAGGCACATCTGAGCTCTTTGTAGCCTGGCGTCTTTTCCGCTTGCTGTTTGCTGCTGCTTCTTCGCTGTTGGGCTGATTCCTTGTCCTCTTTCCAGACTCAGCTCAGATGTCGTCTCCTCCAGAGCATCTTTCCTGACCTCTTGGGCTGGACCAAGCACCACCCCCATGCTCCCCTAGCTCTTTGTGCACACTGCTGTCACATGTCCTAGCTCTGTCACTAGGCAGCTCTGTGATGCTCACCTCCAATTCTTCATCTGAGAAATGAGAATAATCATAGATCTTTCTCATGAGACTGAGAATTTGTAAAGTTAGCTCCTCTTCACACCTCACTGACCCCCCAGTGAGGTTAGTAAGCCTACACGTGAGTGCAGCGCTCATGCCCACTACCTGTCTTTCTCTTTAAACCGGGAGCTCTGGGAAGGCAAGGTCTGTGTCTTATCTTTCTCACCTCCATGTGCCCGGATGATAATGAGTGGATGTTCAATAAGTACGTGTTAAAGGAATGAATGGTTTAATAAGTGTTTGTTGAACTAACATTAGTCGATGAAGACCTATCAGTTGAATTAAAATGTCTATTGAATGCCAGGCTCTGGGCTAGGGCTCCCCTGTTAATACGTAGGTGGGATGAGAATACAGATAAGACAATGCACATTCACCTGTCCTGGTCAAAACTGAACCTGGAGTTGGGACTTCAGTTCAACTGATTAGCATTTGAGTTGGATGAGATGGGAAGTAAAAGGAATTTCCCAGGGAAAACCTGTAACTCGTACTCCCTCACATCCCTCTTCACCATCCCACAGCTGTAAGCAGCACTGTAACCCACTGAGAAGGCTGTCCTGTGTTTCTTTTTTGTCCACTTCAGGAACCTGTAGCAAAGAGAGCCAGCTAACACTGAGCCTGTATTTGCAAAACTGACTTAGATGTTGCTTAGAATGTTGAAAGCTTACCACTATGGGAATTCCGGTTGGTCTGGATGGGAGGAGGGTCTGAGGAAGAAAGGGTATTCACTCTCTTGTCAAGAAAGGACAATCTTCTGACTTTTTAAAGCATGTGTGATTTTTTTTTTCACACTGAGCCCGGCTGTCTCCATTCTTTATGACTCTGGGCATGATTTAACACATACACTTAAAAAATGGAAGAACGACTTCTTAAATTTGCAGTAAATGTATTGTTCAATAGATTTGATTTACTAGTTATGAGCCGTAGAAGAGCCGCCATGGCGATTTATCGTGATGTCTCAGGAGTTGGAGTCCACTGCTTCTATCTGTTCTAATGCCCATAAAAATAACCCAGTGAAGGGAAGACCCACCGTGCATCTTGGCACCAGCTTGGATTGTAACCGCCACACCCTACTCAGTATATCAGGGTCCCCTTCCAGAGCATGGCAGATAGGGGAGAGGCAGGGCACGTTCCATGGATTTAGAGGCATTTGTTCTGAGCTGTTGGTTGGGGTCAAGGAGCAGAGGTCTCTGGGCATTGCAGCTTGTGGGAGATTTATAAGGCTCCACTTGCCTCCCTGGTGACTCTGTAGAGGAATTAAATGGATGGAAAACCTGTGTGTGTGTGTGTGTGTGTGTGTGTGTTTTGAAGGGAGGAGGGACTGAGACATAATTTAGAGGGATGTAGAAGGGTCAGTCTCTTGGGAAAAACCTCTGCAAGACAGTCTTTTGATTCCTAAAGTGACTGAAAGCATCTCCTTCCTGTTCTCCAGGGAAGACTTGAAAGTGTGGGAGGTTCTATAGCTGGTTGGAGGGCCGAGAGAGAGAGACAGCGGAAGACTGTCCCAAGCTGCGGGGCAGGTAAGACCTCCAAGGAGAAGCATTTCCAGGCCTAGCCCTACATGTAGGCATAGCTAAGCAGAGGTGTGGAAGCAGGAGAGAGTTCCCGCAGGAGGAACAGCCTGAACAAACACTCAGGTGAAAGAAGAGCTGGGGGTTTAGAGAGCTGCAGTGCTTCTAATACGGCAGGAATACAGGTGCAAGGGGCCTAGGACCACAGTGGAAAAGCAGAAGATGAGGATTTGATGAGAACATAAGAGATGTTACGGTGTGCCTACTTAATTCAGAGGGCAATGGGGATTCTGAGAAGGATTTCAACCAAAGGGCAACATGTTTGGACTCGTGAAAAGATCACTCTGGCTGCTGTGGAAGACGGATTGAAGTACTTACTGGACTCCTTGATTAGGCTTCCATTTTTGGAAAACTCCTTGCCTATCCTCAGCTTAGGCCAAGAAGCATATCCCTGGTCCCCACCCAGTCTCTTGGCATCCACTGCTCAGCACCTGCATGGATACTGGAGTGAGAATGAGATGCTGCCCCTGCTCTCAGAAGACACAGTCCAGTGAGACAAACAGGGCTCATTCTGTTTGAGGAAGTCATAGGAAAGCATGTTACCAGTGAATACAGGAGGGTCACAGATTATAGCAGGAAGGTTAACTCGGGGAGGCAGGAGCAAAAAACCCTAGGTCTGGGTGAAGGGAGAGGCCTGTCATGCCTGAGGAACCCTGATTGCTGGCTAGACCATCCTCTGTCCTCTCATGAGCAGCACCTCTAGCTTTCCCGTGGGGATCTGGGGAGAGGTACATTGAGAAAGCTGGATCTGTCTAAGACCTGTCCAATAGAACTTTCTGTGATGATGGAAATCTTCTCCATCTTACCTCCAATGTGGTAGCCATGAGTCACATGTGGCTATTGTGCACTTGAAATGTGACTAGTACAATTAAAAAACAGATTTTTAAATTTAAATTAATTTTAGTTTTAATTTAAATAGCCCCAAATGGTTAGTGGCTACCATACTGGCACAAATCTAAGATGTGAGATCCTCAGAGACAGTCCTACTGAGCATGTAGGAGATTCTTGTAGGTGATTCTTATTTCTTGTGCCTGGAGGCAGTATGCTAGAGGCCAGGACCTTGAACATTGGTATAGTCAGACTTAAGGTTTAAATCTTATCTGTGCTACTATATTGGTCAGGGTAGGCTTACTCGTTTAACATACATAGTCAAATTCCAGAGGCTTAACATAATAAAAGTTTTTTTTTTCAATCATTTCATAGACCACTTCAAGTTAGGAAGGGTCTCTGCTCCACATAGCCACCCAGGGACCCAAGATCCTTCCTTCTTGTGGCTTCACTCTCCTCTAGGTCTTTGAAATTCTCTCCTTTCAGCCAGTGTATGGAGAAAGAAAGAGAGCATGTAGGATTGCTCTATGTCTTTTATGGAACTAGCTTAAAACTACCTTGGCCAGAATTTAGTCACATGGCCAAGCCTAACTGCAAGGGATCCTGGGAAATGTAAATGCCCATGAAAAAGAGGAACTGAGCTGGATTAGCACCCAGTCAGTTTCTGCCACAGGTACTCACTAGCTGTGTGACCTTAGGCCTTAGTTTTCTTGTCTGTAAGATGGGAGTAAAATAAAAATTGGTGAGAGTGAAATGCAATAATGCATGTGAAAAATGCTAAGTCCAACAGGGATTCATGACTACGATTTTTGCCTCTCAGTTTGGGTCTCATTTCAGTTACTGGGCAGCAGCCCTGCTGACACCAAAAAGCTGGCACACAGAGGCACCCCTGCATGGCATTTTATGCATGCTCCTTCCTCCCCAAGGAGCAGGACAGAGTATGGAAAGAATTCAGTAAGCCCTTGAGCTTGCCTAACCCAAGGACTACCCCTCGGGCAGAGACGTAAGTACTGGCCAAACGTCCTTAGCATCATGCGGGTTGGTAGAAAGAGATTTCCTCCTCTGGGGAGATGGATTTTGATAGCTGTAAGAGGGTACAATGACTGATACATTTACAGGTCAAATTATATGATATCTATAACTTGCTTCAAAATTATTGGGGAGTTGTGATGAGTACGGGTCCAAGTAAGACATGATTGGCCTTGAGCTGGTAACTATCAAAGCTCAGTGGTGAGTTCATGGTGGGTGTATTATACAATTCTCTCTTCTTTTGTACGTGTTTGAAAGTTTCCGTAAGAATTTGTTTAAGGGTGATGAGGGTTCTACTTTAACAGGCTTTGCAGGGAAGTCCAGAAACCTCTTACGACCTTGCCGTATGGGGACAGTAGCTTGACTGTTTGTTTACCTGTTGACTCACCAAAGCAATTAACAACTTTGCAGCTGGGTCTCCCACAAAGGCAGAAACACTGAACCCCAGCCTTGATCTCTGAAGAAAAAATGAACTTGAGTATGGTGTCATAGATAGGCAGAATGAGCTGTGTCTGTTTACCAAGAGGAGGTTGGTATAAAAAACTGGTATACAGATCATCTCATCAGAACACTTTTGCAACGGCTGGAGATTTTTATTTTCTAGCTGCAAAATTTAGAAATAGCCCACGCTGTTGCTTATCGTTGTGTCAATGGGGCTGGTTTTATAAGTGGACAGTGACTCTGTGGAGTTGGGAAAAGCCTCCTGTCCCCCAAAACTTCCCCCATTACTCTGATAAATGCCTGAAATCCCACCCACCCTATTTCATTGCCTTGGCTTTTATTATCCTATTAAAATGTGAATACTGTATCTCTGGACAGGATCGTCACTTACATATTGGTTTAAACGATTTATCAGTTCTTGCTGATGAGGGAATGGAGAAAAATAGGCACTTGAAGCTCAAGGCTGCAGAAATGGGGTGTCACAGAATGAGAGAGAGGAGCCCATAGAAAAAGGTGTCTACAAGCAGTCTCCTCTGACCTCACACATTTCCCAAAGTCTTGGTATAACCACATGGGATGGGATAGGGAGGGGACAGCTCAGTGGTAGAGTGCCTGCCTAGCATGCACAAGGTCCTGGGTTCAATCCCCAGTAACTCCACTTAAAGAATAAATAAATAAACAAATCTAATTACCTCCTCCCCTAAAAAAATAAAAATAAAATAAAAAGAATAACCACATGCAAAGACCTTGAGTGATCTGTATGAATTTCTTCACAGACAAGCACTATAGAGAGCTGTGTCTTAGACTTAAAAGAACTAGTTTCAAGCATTTGTAAATTCAGTTACAAAGTAATAATAACAGCCAATATTTTTATTTATAATTGCATATGAAACATGTTATATGCATTATCTAATTCATTCCTCATGAACCCTATGAGTCAAGACCACCACTATGATCCATTTTACAGTTGAGATAACTGAGAATCAGAGAAGTAGAGGAGCTTGCCCAAGGTCACACAGCTTGTAAATTAAAGTCAAGATTTGAAGCCAGGTGTATCCCGAGTCCATGTCCTCACCACTCAGCCTCTACTGTCCTAGGTTTCCTGATGTGGTTTACACACAATTTTTATACTTCAAGTCCAGCGAGCTTTGGTCTTGTCATTTCTTTGTGTCAAGGCAAGGTTTTGGCTAATGGGTTTTTTTTGACAGGCCCTTCACTGGGTTTTATGTCAAGCATAGTCAGAGCTGCAGGCAACCCAGGTATATTTCCAAGTGACCACATCCTGGCTATTTCCATGGAGGGGATATTCTGGGGAAGTGATTGACATTCTGCCAGAAAGGAAAGAAAAGAGTTCCCTAAAAACCAATCTGGTTCAAGAGCAGAACACTGGCCAGGTCTCTGCAGGCAGCATTGACTGAGGTTCTCTTTGTAGATCCAAAAAAGCTGGAAGAGGGGGGCTTTGGGGCTCTTTTCATTTAGGATCAGCCAAAAACTGAACACCTCATCCTTTCTCTCTGTCCTCATGACAGTGCTTACGCTCAATCAGGTAGGACCTGAAGTCTGACCAGTTGACAAATGTATTGCATATTCTCAGTTACGCACAATCAAGGGAGCCATGAGAACGAAAGAATAAATTCCTAGTGCAAAGCTGTTGAGCATCTACAATGTGCCAAGCACTGAGCTGGCAGAGTCAGAGGTGGCTACGATGTGGTCCTTCCTTAAACAGCTTAAAGCCAGAGAAGGAGGCCACCATACAGACAACTAAGGTAATAAGGTAATAAGAACTATATTTACAGGAAGGACCATGGGGGCCCAAGTAGGGAGTGGCTAGTCCCTCTTGAGGTGTGGCGCTGAAACTTACCAATATGTCTTACGTGACTTTTGGGCTGGGTATTGAAGGTCTGGTGTTGAATGGAAGTTTGCTAGGAAGACAGAAGGAAATGGGAAGTGGTGGAGGCCATTTCTGGAAGATAGTGCAGTATGTACAAAGGCACGAAGGTGTGAAAAAAACATAATTTGGTCAAGTAGCAGAGAAAAGGTCTGCAAGCTGAAAAGAATAATGTGTGTCAGTGGAAGAAGGTAAGACCAGAAAGGAAATGCAGGAGACGACATGATCAGAACAGGGTTTTTTAGAGGGAATGATCTTTTGCAGAAGGTTGAAGGGGAGTGGTGAGATGAAGCAGAGGGATGCCCGTGTGCAAGGATGGAGACACGCAGTAGGTGGTTGGCTATGGTCTGCACCTTCAGCCTCTACCAAACCTCCTCCAAACTGTCACTACCAGAAACTGAACAGATGAGTAGTATTTTTTTTCCTTCCAGTGCCTGGTTCTTCTTCTCATATTTGCTTTCCTTTTCCCCTCCCCTCCTCTTCCTCTGCCTAGTGTCTCACTCAGGGAGGTCCTGTTGAGCAGAAGCCTCCCCAGCCCCCACCCTGGCAGGGCTACATACATATCACAGCCCCACCCCCACCCCAGGGTCTGCCTGGGTTGGAACAGATCTCCTGGAAGGACTGACTTTCGGGAGCCAACTCTGATAACTTCTCATTTGCCAATACTGGTCTCAGCACTAATATGATGACCACTCAGGCAACTGCTGGCCCCATAATGGGGTTAGTGCTGCAGGAAGTGAGTGTCCCTCCACTCCCTCAGGAA